AACTTGCTAATGAGAAACTGGAACTAAAATTCAGTTTGCTTAGTGTAACCAGAAACCCCTAAGTTCACATAAACTAAAGGAGTGTCACAGAACAAGGAACTCTGTTCATTTTAACTATGATACTTGACTTTCTTTAAACAATATTCTGTGAAAATTACTACAGTGACTGGAGAATTGTTTACGGAATAATTTTACTTTATGATCCTCAGTAAAAATATGGCCTTGTCTTTCTACAACTGCTGTATTCTAATTCCCACAGGAAGCACAGTATATAACAGGAAAAGAAAACTACATGGGGAGTAAGAAGACCTAAGTTGGAATCCCAGCTCTGCCCCTGACTTCCTTCCTATGTAAGCCTAAGTAAGTCACTCTATCTGGGACTGTTTTTACATCAGACAGTGGAAGAATGGGCCAAAGCCTCTTAAGAGACGTGCACCACCATTATTCTGCATCTCTAAATTTTTAATTTCCTAAGCAGACATGTCAGCATATAGGCAATGGCTGGAAAATTTCCTCTACCACATCTTGGAATCCAAGCTGATAACAAGAGAAAGAAACCAGTTCGGATTCCAGGGCCTGAAATGAAGGCACGCTGGCCGGCTTTTCAGATTGAATCCAAGCCCCCCTGCATCACTTATTTCAAGACCAAAGCATATCAGAAATGTTGGAGTAATAATAAAACCTTAGTTTTATAATTCATATACAACTATTTCCTTGGACAGGACATATTCTCCTTTCTCTCAAGGGAAATGTATGTCTCAACTTTAAGAAGTGTAATTGTTTGGTGCAATTGTTTGGCAACTACAAAAGAATGAAAAGGAATTAAAGTAATCTAAAATAGAGTCAAACAGACCAGTTTCTAGACAATGGAATTATACTGGGTCCAGATTAAAGTTATATATTATGCCCAGCAAAGGGCTTTACTCATTAGTGCAATCAGGATTATCTGTGGAGTGACTAATGTAGTCATAAGCAAGCACATCCCAACATATTACTCAGATCACACATCTGCTCAATTGCGTTGCTGTCATTTACTGCAACAAAGGCTATATACCATGATGTGAATTTCAGTGTGTCTATACAGTCCTTTAGAAAAATGGTTTCCAAATGTCTAATAGGACAGGCTGGCAGTATCCTCGGGAATATTTTTAAACAAATTAACATGCCTAGATGATTGATATGCAGGTTTGGATTAAGCTGAGGGACTTATTTTTGTTTTTAATGGTTCCTAGGTAATTACCATGT